AAGCTCATGTTGTCCTCATACGTAAGGAAGGTAAAAGATGATACTCATTGTTCAAGTTATAGACCGATTTCCCTATGAAATACAGATACTAAATTATATGCAAAGTATTAGCAAATAGATTGAACGATTTAATGCCGAAGTGGATACATATAGACCAAGTAGGGTTTGTCCCAGGAAGAGGGTAGAGATAACGGATTAAGATCCCAGTTTCTCATAAAAAAAAGTAGGAAAGAGAAGACTCCTGCGTTGGTACTCTCGATAGACGATGAGAAGGCATTCGTAAATTGGGGATATATGTTAGACACTCTGGAAGTTTTGGGAATCGGAGCTAGAATGACAGAATGGATAAGGAAATTATATAGCCAACCCTTGGCCGAATTTATGGATAATGGGGAACTGTCAGAATATATAGAGATGCAGAATGGAACAAGACAGGGATGTCCTCTGTCTCCATTGTTATAGGTTTTATCTCTGGAATCTCTCTTGGCTACCATAAGGAATAACATAGATATAAAAGGAATTTGGGTAGGAGAGATACAGCATAAGGTGGCAGCTTACGCAGATGATATGCTGTTCTATGTAGGAAACTCAAGGATAATATTGCCAAACTTAATGAAATCCTTAAAAGTATATGGTGATATGTCAAATTTAAAAATTAATCCAACTAAAACAGAGATTTTAAATATAAACCTGCTAAACAGAGAAAAAAAAATGTTACAGGAGGAATTTCCCTTCGTCTGGAGAGAAAGAGAATTAAAATATCTTGGTATAAAACTGACCATTTCTATAAAAAATGTATATAGATTGAACTATATTCCACTATTAAATGAGATTAAAGATGAAATAAAGAAAGGGATGGGGATCTCAGTCATGGATTGGACAGATAAATTTGATAAAAATGGTGATTGTTCCAAACATTTTATATAAATTCCAAATGATACCAATTAAACTACCTGAGGCATTTTTTAGCATAATTAAAAAAATCCTGACAAGATTTATATGGAGGAATAAAAAACCTAGAATTAGATATGATATCTTAAGTAGACACAAAGAGAATGGCGGTTTGGGAGTACCAGACATTAAAAGATACTACAACTCAGTAATACTGGTGAGAATTTATGATTGGACATGTAATGCACAGGCAAAAAGTTGGGTAAAAATAGAAAATACATTAAGTCAATTTAAGTAGAAATATTTGGTTACATCCTCAATACCGTGGATTAGCAGATAACACAAGTTTGTTTACACGTAATGTCTTAAGAGTTTGGGATGTTTTACACAAGCAAATGGGGTGGAAATTTAATTCACTGTTAATGCCTCTTGGGAATAGAGTTTTTCCATCCAAGTAAAGAAAGCATTACAGGGAAGTGGATAAAGGAAGAAAGAAGTTCAATTAAGAGATATAATGGATGGAGAGGAAATATGTTCACTTAACGAATTGGAAAGCAAGAGGGAAATATTCACGAGAATGGATGGGCGTTATTTTCAGTTGAAACATTTTATAGGGAACCTCCCAAAGCCACTAAAAAAAAAAAAAAAAAAAAAAGAGAAGATGATTGGAACCCCTTTGACGTACTAGAAACACGAGGAGATGGGAAGCACAAGACTTCTAAAATATATAAGATTCTCACAGGTTTAAGTACGATAAGACCACCATTTATATAGAAAAATGGGAAAGGGATTTAGGAGTAATAATTGATGAGAAAAAAAACAGAAGAAAATGTATTGTTTAATTCACAGGAATGTAAATATAAAAGGAGGTAGAAATTAATTATAAATGTTTGGCAAGATGGTATATCACTCCGAATGTAGCACATAGGATAAGAGGGGATAACTCACCTTTATGTTGAAAGCTGAGAAGAGCCTGATACCCAAATTTTGGAGGGAACCACAGGCACAGAGAGTAAAAGATTTGATAGAAAGGGTAGAGAAGATTTATAGACTGGATGAACTTTACCATATGGATGAAGATAGGATGGAGATTTTCCATATAAGATGGTAAAAGTGGGAGAAATTTAAAAAGTCAGATGCATACCTGGAATATATGTAATAAAGAAAAGACGAGGATATCTGTAATATTAAAAATAATAGTATTCTTCGAATAAGATCAATAGAATAAAACAGGAAAGAACATAATCAGGGCTGGGTAGGAAGGGTTGGGAGACTGCGGTGGTATAGGGTTTTAGGGTGGCGAAAAGTTGAGGGGAAAAAGGATACCAAGAGTAAAGTTAATATTTTGAAATAATGCCAGATAAATATGAGTATTTTATGTTATGCGAGTAGGTATTTTATTGGCTTTTGTATATGTAACTGGTATACTGAAAATGTATATAATAAAATATTTAAAAAAAAAAAAAAAAAAAAAAAGATGTATTTTTTTCTTCTAGGTCTTATTGTCTCTATAACATGGATTTACGTTGGCAGAGAAATATAAACGCCATGGGCATTTTTGTTAAATATCTAATGGTAGACTAGCAATCTGAATGACACCATCTTCAAAAATATCCTCCCTTATTTCTGAACTTTATGAAACAGCCACAAACAGTGATGGAGAAAAGTGGTTTCAAAAACTTTGTAAATATCTGAAGAACTTTCATTTCAGCTGTTCATGAATATAAGTTAAAGCTCAGTTTGTTATAATTGCAACAGATCTGCACACCTACCAGAAGTTTCTTGTCATGTGGACTACGATGATCCTGAAGAAAATATTATGTATGAACACTGTATGAGTTCTTAGGTGTTGCAGTACAGTCTTATGGAGGACTAGCTGTCAAGGATACACTGAAGGAATCAACTAAAGACTCGGCGTTTATAAAACTCTTAGCCCAACACAGTTTTTTAGAGTTTGATTTTTAGTTTAATTTATTATTTAATGTTTCGTATTTTTCAGCCTTCATGAAGCAAAATTAAATTTTTCTGCAAAAGTAACTTGGATGTATAAAATCAGGAGAAATCTGAACTAGAAAGAAATATTTAATTTAAATTAGGCAAACAGAGGGAGATGTAAGAGAATTTAAAGGAGGGGAGGAATTGTAAACTAAGTGTTATCTTCTTCAAAAATATATGTTATATTAGGTTTTGTATGTGTAATGAGACCTAGTAATCCTATGTTTGTTCAATTTTACCAGTACCCCTAATATCCACATCTAGTAAGGCCCTACATAGCTTTGTCACCAAATGAACCTCTACACTGTGAATAATCCAAGAACCCAACTGTTCACAACTAATGTACAAATTGTTTGATATAACAAATATGTTTCTCAAATTTATTTTTTAGGAAGGGATAATTGTTTGGACAAGAATGTTCAAGAGGAGGGATTGTGAGGGAAAATGGAATAGCTATTTTATATATAAAACATTTAGTTTTGATGAAGTGGATATATTGAATGCATATTTTGTTATTAGAAGTCTTATTGTGTAAAAGCTATGTTAGAATGTTATTTACACCTCCAGCTGGGAAGATTGCCATCTAAAGAAGCTATGGGAAATAACACACTATTCTGAATCTCCATTTATATTTCAAAGAACTCCACCAGAAACCAGAATGTAACTTCAAAGCAGTTTGGCTCCCAGGCAGAGCCAACAAGGGCAAATGGCCACAGGCAGGTTTTATGGCTTGCTACAGCCCAGCAAGCCATAAAACTGCACCCTAAATTGAGAGACTGCTTGGTGAGCCTACCCACAGGGAGGCCCAGAGGTTAAGCTGGCAGGCAGCCCAGAGCATCCCCAGCATGCCAGAGAAAGTGATAACATGCCCAGAGCCTAGGATCAAGTCCTTATTTCACACCTCTCACCATTGACAGTCCTCTACTCATCAAGGAAGGGGAGGAGAGGGGCACAGAACACCTGACCCCTGGCACCAGTGAACTACCCTCAGGCAAACGTCCCGGGAGGGGAAGGCTACTTATCGATCCAGCAAAGCACGTAGATAAGGTTTCCATGACAGATCCTCCTCTCCACCAAAGTGGGGGATTTTCAGCCAGGGTAACACCACAGACTCCGACATCAGGTCATGTGCCCCAGCAAAATATGTTTAACTCACTGGCCACCCCGGTCCTGGGTAGGGTTTGTCGCAGCCGGCCCAACAGTTAGCAAAAGGTCTATGCACTCTTGTTAGCCAGACTGATTAACCAACCTGTTCCCCAGCCCAGGAACCGATTAAAGATCTCTACAAGAAGAAAATCCCTCCCAGAACACTAGGCAGAAAAAAAAACGCCATTTATAGCAGAGAGAGGTTTTATACCAGCTAGGACTGCCCATAGGTGGTGCCGAGTTTTTGTTTCCTGCCTAGTATCCTACTCCTGTATGTGGTACTATAAATCCTAAGGTCAATAAGAGCGGTGTCCATCAATGAATGTACAAGAAAACACTTTTAAAACCACACACACAATAAAAACAAACAAAACCCTTAGTTAGAATTACCAGTGAAGGTATTTCTAAGAGCCTTTCAGGACAGCACCTGGAGAGGGGGGGCTTGCTGCTGTGCTGAAAGGCTCTTAGAAACACCATCATATGCAAGTCTAACGTTTTCCTCCATCGTCTTTCAGGACAGCACCTGGAGACGATAACCGAGTAACTTACCCTAGGGTGGGACCACCGCTTGCAGGACCTTCCTACCAAAAGACTGGTCAGCAGCCGCCAACAAGTCCACCTTATAATGGCATATAAATATGGAAAAGCTGCACCATGTAGCTGCCTTTCAAATCTGTTCTGGAGATGCACCAGCACTTTCAACCCAGGAGGCCGCCACTGATCTTGTAGAGTGTGCTGCAATCCCTACTGGAGGATCTTTGTCTATTGCTCCATAGGCTTCCTTGATGGCATGTCTGAGCCATCTGACCAAAGCACTTTTGGAGGCTCTCTCCCCTTTGCGACTTCCCAAAAAAAAGTACAAACAAGGTGTTTGACTTCGTGAACTCCTTTGAGACCTCCAAAAACTGCAAAAGACATTTTTTCACATCCAAAAGTATAAAATGCTTCTTCTCCTGAACTAGTTGGATCTGTATTTTTCACTCCATAAGACGCACCTGACCATAAGACGCCTAGGTTTTAGAGGAGTAATACAAGAGAAAAAAAAATATTCTGAACCAATGGACTGCAGACACAGTACAGGGGATGACCAGAGACTGCGGACACAGTACAGGGGATGACCAGAGACTGCGGACACAGTACAGGGGATGACCAGAGACTGCGGACACAGTACAGGGGATGACCAGAGACTGCGGACACAGTACAGGGGATGACCAGAGACTGCGGACACAGTACAGGGGATGAACAAGAGACAGCAGACCTCTGGGGAGGGAGGAGGAGTGGGTAGCTGAATTTGACAGGTACCCGCTCCCACTTCTGCGGTGTTGTCTTCCCTTTAGTGTGGACACCAGGCTGTGACAGCCGGGTGCCCACTGAGCATGCGCGAGAAGCATTGCGCTTTGTGAATGGCCTGGCATCTTCTGGGACCTGCCATGTGTTCCAGAAGACTCCGAACCATTCACAAAGCGCAGGGCTTCACGCGTATGCGCAGCGGGTAACTGGCTGTCATAGCCGGGTGCCCACACTAAAGATGCCGGCGCTGGAAGACTG